GACAGCTTTTTCTCATGACTGTATTAATAATAAATTACTATTAAATTATCGAACATCCAATCTTTATAACAAGCAAAATAATAAAGAATTCATTTCAACAGTTCTTTAATTCGAGTCAAATCAAATTTAAAAAGAGTTTCTCCATAGTTAACGGTGACTTTTTCATTTTCTTTAAACCTGATAACAGCGTCCATGACATCTCTCTCGGTTTTGATCTTACCTACAAAGTTTCCATTCAATGTAAAAAATGCAATTTTAGTTGTTTTGACAAAGCCACACCCTACAGTACAAACACTTTCCATTTGATCCCATCGAATTTGATTTGGGTTTCTGTAATTTTTTACTTCATTTGGATCCTCCACATAGTTGTCTTTTCCGCCCATAATACTATACAACAGTTGGTCATAGTCGATTGAATCTCGCATTGCTGGTATTTTATACCATCCACTTTTTAACATTGGTGACTCTTTCCACAAATAAAAGAGTCTCCCCTCATCCGCTTTGTATCGGATTGTTGTATTTGCCCAATTAGTTTCATCTCTATCATTCTTATCGAGTCTATTCGAGTCTAAGAGAGCCGCATAAATGCAACTCTTTCCCAGTCCACTCGCTTCAAAATAATTAATTCCTTCGATCGACCTTTTCTTGTTGTCTTCTGTCAAAAAGACAAAACAGCCCTTTTCTATCGTCGACGAAAAGTTTTTGGAAACCAATTGATTATACTCTTGGAATGATCGTGGATTCATAACCATCACATTTCCATCAACAAAAGTACTAAATGAGAGAGGTACAAATCGGTTTGTCACACAAACACCTTTTTGGTAATTTCTGTTATATTTCTCATTGCAAATACTTTCATAGACTACAGTTTTCCCAAAGGTGCCGTTAGAAAATTCGATGTTTTCACTGTTCTCAATATATAAATCATTGACTTGCATTACACTAATTTGTGGGAACATTACATTCTTCGTTTCAATCACATACATTTGTGGAATATTCCCAACATTTTTTAAAAGAGTAATTTCTTTGCAATTCATAACAAACACTTTGTGGATATTTGGCAATTCTAAGCTCATTTCTTTTCCACTGTAATAATTACTCTCTATTCGGACGTTTTCACATGATTTTTGCCACAAGAATTCCAACTTCTCAAATTTCATTTTCCCACCAAAGACGATGTTTTTGCACGTTGTTAACACGAGCATTTCAACGGTGTCCATTCCTCCTTGAAATATAAAGTTTTCCAAATGATTCAAATAAATATTTTTGATGTGATTAGTGCCAATTCTAAATTCACAAGGAGCATCAAAATTTGATTCAGACAACATGAACCCATCGACACATTTTGGGACTTCCCATAAGGTTTCATCTTTGTTATAATCATTGACGCATACCTGTCGAATAATAGTCGGATATGCTCGTTCTATCGCGTCGTTTTGGTAATTACCATATAAACAGCCGAGGACGTACAACACGCCACACCCACAATATAATTTATCGCATGGCACATTTGAAGCATATTCGTACAACACATTAACCCTTTTCATTCTTTTGATTTCCTCAACAAATTCTTTTGTTGGTTTGAGTGCAACAACAAAAATTTGTGTTAGTCCATTATCCGGAACACATTTTAATATTCTTTGAATGATTTTCAACGTTTTTGTGTTGGGGAGAATAGAATCATTCTCATACGATTTACACAAAATTTTAGATGGAACTTTTGCGTAAATGTCCTTCCCATATTTTGTGTACATTTCCAAGTACTTTGCAATTAAAGAAATATCTCCTCTGATGTAATCAACTCGTTTGAAACAATCAATGTGTTGGAATATTACTGTATTCACATATGTTTGAGGGTCTTCAAATTGGTTTGGAGTGTCGAATGTAAGGGTTGTAATTTTTGGGAATAAAGTCGGGTAATTGTTCGTTAAAATGACATCAACTACCATCGAACACAAGTCGGGATTTTTTACCAATTTGATTTTTGGGAGGTACTTCTCGACATCTTTTGAGATGTCAGGAACATCTAAAGTGTCTGGGGTGAAATGTTTCAAAAACCAAGCGGTAGATACCGGACTCAAGAAACGTGGTGTTGTTTTGAGATAATTAAGTGCGGCACCACATTTGTGATTGATGTGAATAAATGTTTGAAGACTTTCCTTTTGGTTAAAATAAAGAAGGACATTGACTATATATGGTATTTCAAGTGGCATTAATTATTTTTCAAATTTAAGTTCGTTTATAACCCTTTTGATAATTATTATATAATGTAAAAAAATATTTTAACAATTTATTATATAATATAGAAGTTCTTGTCAAAACAATAGAACTTATACTTATACTCTATTACAGTTGACAAAAAAAACGGTCAGAGACCAAATAATTGTAAGAAGTTTATTTAATAATTGTAAAACTTTAGATAAAAACTATTATAAAAATGGATTTAAGTTTCTTACCATTTTTTAGTGTACCTTTTTTCACTTTTTTTCAAAAACCTGTTATTTCCAAGGTAATCAACGGGAAATACATCCTTCTGACAATTATTTGGTCTCTGAGAATTACTTAGTCAACTGTAATATATTTTAAAATTAATTATAGCTGTCTTTATAGATTTTAAAATGTAATTTTTACTTATTTAAATATTGTAAAGTGCAAAAACTAGAAAAATGGTTCACCAAATAATACTAAGACACGCAAAACCATTTAAGAATAGTTCTTTATCTGAGTTTTAAAGCTATTTATTTAATTTTTACAATTATTTGGTCTGTAAAATCGAACAAGCTATTTGTTGAACAATTGGCCAATCATTTTGGTGTACAAATATTAAATATTTTGTTCTCTAATCTGTGCCTTTTGTTGAATTTTAACCAAAATTTTACTAAAAATTATTTATAATATTAATAAAATATCCTACAAAAGTTATTCAAATCGGACAAATAAATTATTTTTCTGATGGATTTGTGACAAATAGACTCCTTTTACTCTAATATTTTTTTGGTCAATTAAATACAATAATTGTATTAAAATCTAATATATTTTTATATATCAAAACAAGTGTTCACTCACGGTTATTTTTAAAATTATTAAACTAATTAAAAAAAACATAAAAAACTATAACTAAAGTTGCACATTTATTTTCAATTGTATTTTGTGTGTCGCATTATTCACAGTATCTTGTTTACTGAAGTTTTGATTTAAAAACTTACTCGAATAACACACATTTGTTCTTTTATTATTTTTTACATTTCCAACGAGATAATGAACTTCCAATTTATCTCAATGTGAAATAAAATGGGTTATATATTATGTATAATAGCCAAACATATATATAACATCCAGCTTGTTTAAAAATTAAACTATTAATTTCTTATTTTTTATAATTTTTCATTGGATTTGACAATATTTAATTGTATTTTATGTTGATTTATAACAAAATTTAACTTTTTGTATTTGTTATCTTTCATTTTTTTGTTGGCAAAAAGAAAAAAAATAAAAACAAAAACAAAATATTGTACATTTATTTGAAATGACATTATATTATTATAAATTGTAACAACAATTTAATTTTTGATTTTTTAAATATTTTTAAATATCACAAATTAAATGTTGTATGAATTACAATAAAAAAAAGAGTCAAAATGACACAAGTGTTGAATGAATTATAATAAACGTTCTTATTTAATAATTTAGCAGTTGTAAAATAAATAATTTAACTTTATTTTAAATAACTAATCAGTCAAAGGCTTAATTATAAGTCAATAATTGTTTTTGGTTATTAATTACTCACTTATAACTACACATCAAATAAAATTATTTATATTTAATATAATTAGTTATAATTTTATTTATATTCTGTTTATAAAAATATTAATTATAAATTTACCAAAATTACACACCGCGCGGATTCAAAATATCATGTAAATCTTTCAAAGCAAGACAATGGTAGAAGAACAAGATCATCAAGTTGTAATAAATGAAACCAATGGAACTCCAAATAATGCAAATCAAAAACACGAAGATGTGAAAAAAAACAAAACTGGCCAAAAAGCTTGAAGATAATGGATGTCCAAATTGTATAGCGATAGTATGTTTCCCGGCTTTGGCAATATACATTTGGTTTGGGAGTTGTAACATGTTTGTATGTGTCAGTCTTTTGATCTCTTTATTGACTTGTAATATCGGGGAATATTCATTTATTTATATTTAAAATGTTTAGAAGGAGTAACCTCAAATGAAGACCAGTAAATAACACAATATGTTATTTAAATTTATAAAATGGTGTTTTAATGGATATAAAAAAAACAAAATTAAAGACCCTTTTGATTATAAAATCACCAATTTTCCTTTTCAAAAAGAAGTCCGTCTTTGTTTAAGTCGTCACTAAATTTCGTGAAGACTTCATTTGCGTCTTTCAAGATGTCAAAAGAAAGTTCTTTGTTTCTTTGTTCCGCAAGAGCAACTGCAAGTTTAATGATTGCGCCGATAGATCTTCCGCTGCCATTAAACGAACCCAACTTTTTGACATCAAAATTCTTTTCGACGTATTCCTCTGCACCATTTCTTCCTCTTTCAATCCCTTCTATAACTTCTCTTTCAAACAAATTAACAAGAGAATTCCTCCAAATCTCTTCCTTTGACTCTTCTTTTAATTTCTCAAAGTGAACAGCCAAAGTTACTCTACTCAATGCAGCTGGATCAAGTGCAAGAGGTCTGTTACTCGTTACAAAAAGTGCTCCGTCGAAGTTTTCAAGTAGTCTCAGAAGTACAGAAGTCATCGAGTTCATCACAAATTGGCCAGACGTCCTCTTCTCAATGAGTGCATCACCCTCGTCCAACAGAACAAGTGCTCCCCATCGAGATGTCAAGAACAAAATGTCGCCAAGTCGTTCTTCCAACTCACTGATGGTTGTTCCCAACTCTCCAAATGAGACTTGGTACATCGGACGACCAAACAAAATGCTTAGCGCCTCTACACTTAACGTCTTTCCAGTTCCTGGTGGCCCATACAACAAGAAGAGTGTGCCATTCCCTCGTGTTTTCAGTATTTGGGCGGACTTGTATTTGCTCTCAGTTTTGAGCATTTTCTGAACATTTAAAGCAAGTGCGTCACTTTCATTAATATGTCCATCTGTCTGTATCATCTTTTTCCCTTTGACGGAGGACGCTACAGTTGCAACCAATAACTCTTTGACAGTAGAAGGAAGTACAAGTTGATTCCACTCGACACTTCTGATCTCAATGGCATTCAAAAGAGGGACCAGAACATGTCCCCAGCATTTCTGAGTGATGGAATAAGCAGAGACTGTTGGCCACACGAGTTTATGGAGATGTTCTGGCAGCGTTTCAAACACTTCAATTCCCTTTGTCTTATACCGCTCTATCCTTTCACTCTCACTGCATGTCGGTGGAAACGTCTTGCGGACCTTTTTATACTCTGATAATGCATTAACTATTGCTTCACTCGCCTCGTTGACCCCTTTAACAACACTTTTGTTCAATGATACAGTCAGTTCCATGTCGACCACTAATGAGCCATCTTTTGAAGTCGCAGAGTCAGTTTGTGTGTGTGAATTTCCAATTCTGCTTTGATGTGGGAAGAACGAGAACTCACTGTAGTGCATGTAAACGGGAGTGCTCTTGAATTTTGAAATCATTTCATAGTACTTTTCATACACTTTTGCTTCGTATTTCTTGATTGGGTGGTAGTCAAAGTCTTTCAGTGCACGTTTTCCAATCCACTCGCCAATAGATACATTAAAACTTACAGAGAGATACTCATCAAGACCTCGTACCATTGTTTTAAGGCGCATCGAGAAGTAATACTTCCTTCCCAACATCATCGACCGGTGGACTTCATAATGACTGTCTTCGATTAAAAAGACGACTGGAAGGTTCCCTATTTCAGTGATCTTGTCGTTCATCACAAAGTCACCTGGTTTGTATACTTCTTGGAGTTGCATATACTCTACCTCACCAGACGCCTTCTTACACTCACTTCTCGCGTCTGTGATTAATTGATCAAATTCATCTTCTATTGTTTTAAGAACCTCTTCAATGCCAGGAACTTTCACATCCTTGTGCTCGTCAATTGCTATTGTGTATCCAATTGCACTCACTTTCTCCACAAAAGACGTCATGAACAGTCGTTTGGCTTCATCACAATTCTGTGCATTTGTTTTAACAATTTTGTTGTAACTCTGCACTTCTTCTTTTATCTGCCGAAGGCGGTTGTAATTCCCAAACAAGTTACCTATCGACACTTCAACATCAGTACGCCCAAGTTCACAGAAATACCTAACGACTGCAAGAACGGGTACTATAATTGTTGTGTCGTCTTTGGTATCCCCTTTAATGCGCTCGAAAACGACACTCTCCGTTTTGCCAGTTATTGGATTGATTCGTTTTGAGCACACTGCCTTCTCTTGTTCTTTTTGTTCACTTTGAATATCCTTTTGAGTACTTTTGACTACACTTTTCTTTGGAACATTTGAAATATTTTCTTGCATTGAAGTATTGAAAGGTCTTGCACCTTTCCACTCTCGCAAATAGGCGGGGTGGAGCAAATACCCTGCAATCAGTTCTCTTGTCTCCACGACATTCAATCCTCCCGTATTGAATTTTTCAATAGTATTAGCATTTCCCTCGTCACTCCAGTCAGACGCCGTGTAAACCACTTCATTGTACTTAGCAGAAGAAACAATTGTCTTAATGTTTGTTAAGTTAAATAGTGTGTTTGTCATAGTTTCTGGTGTTGTAGTCATCATCACCATCACTTTTGAGTGACTTGAGAAATTAGTATCTTGTTGGTCATCCATCTTGATGTCTTCTTCATAATTCTCACTTGCACCTCTCTTCTTTTTGAAATACTTTTGCTTCTTCCAATTTTCAGTTAAAAAGGCGGTGAATGGCGTAAATGGAGCAGGCTTGCCAATAAACTTCTTTGCCATTTCAACAATCAAATGTCCCTCTTGGTCGTCGTCCAAAGGCTCCAGGTATATCTCCACCATCACTATCGTGTTTGTTGGCCTCATGATGTCACCACTCTTCTTAACCCATACATTATTGATCGTCTCTTCAGAGAACACATTCCCAACACTCTGGTGGGTTACTTTTGCGTGTAATGACTCGTTGAGAGTCGCATTAAGTGTGCCACACGATTGGAATGGATTCAGGACAACCGACTTGATCCCATTTTGTAAATAAGTCGAGAAGATGTCTGTTACTATGGAAGTCTCCTCACCACTCAGCTGTGACGTCCAACTGTCTAAATCAACAAATGCTTCTGTCATGTGTAACACCCGTGGCTTTGCACAGTCGTCATCCGTCATATCTAAACTTCTCTTATGTGAAAATGCAAAAATTGGAATTCCAGTTTTTGGTGACTCCACGTCAGTCAGTTTCTCAGTTGCAATTTTGAGAGCTGCTTGGATTTGTTTCTCTTCGTCTCCATTTCTGATAATTGTATCACACGTGTATAACATAGTTCCACTTTGGGTTTGTAATTCAAGACTTGCGCCAAATGATTTCTGTTGTAATGAAGTTTTCATTGTGTTGAATTGATATTGCAGATTTCGTTTTAATACTCGAAAATACTTCAACAACTATTAATTTATTTGTTTTTCAGTTATTATAAAAAGTAACTTGGTTGAATACTTCAATGAAAGGCGTTTTAAAAATGGAAAATAAATTAAGTTTATATTCAAAAAGATTAATACTTGGTATACCATATCATATTCATTGAACTTGTTG